TTGAGTAGAGTACTGTCAGCCGGATTCTTGCTTAAACTAGGACATTAGCTCCTGAAGCTCATCTAAATCCAGGCAGGGAGTGTGGCCACCTACTCTCCCTCATCCTAATGTGTGGGTGTTTACCTTCTGCACCAGAAATTCCCTCAGCATGTACCTGTGCACACCCAAACATGCTTAGGAGTATTTGTTCTGCAGAGGTGACATTTCCTTCTGTTAGGAACATCTAATATCTATAGCTCAGGTGGCATTGGTAGGCAGTGTAGCCTTCTTGCCCCTATTTCCAGAACTAGTTTTACTTTCTGACCCTCTAGTGGTGGTCTAATGTATATCTTCTATCAGTAACCTGGATGATGACACACTAGCATTAGCAAATTTACAAAAGGTAGTGAATTAGGGGGTGAGGTCAGGCTGAGAGGGCAAGTGGCAGAGTTTAAAACCAGAGGGTTCTTAAGAAACTCGAGGTGTGGGCCAAAAGAAGGCTCGTATAGTTCTGCATCTAAGAGAGAGTAACCTCATGCATCAGTACAGGCTGGGAACCAGCTGGCAGGGTCGCAGCCCTGTTGAAAAGGAGCTGGGATTGACAATGGATGCCATGCTCAATGTGAACCAACAGTGCACTCTTACTGAGAAACAGGCAACCGTAGGTTGTGCTATTTTAGGGGGCTGTGTTCCCCAGTACAAGAGAAATGCCAACAAACTGGAGCAGAAGGCCCCTAGGATAGTTAGTGGATTGGAGCTTATAATGCAGAGGGAGGTGCTGGGGGAACAGGGTTTGTTTAGCCTGGAGAAGGTTAACAGGAAATCTTGTTATATTCTTCAACCTCCTAAAAGACCAGATTCTTCTAAAAAGTTTATAGTGTGAGAAGGCAGTGGTCAGAAGTTGGAACAAAGGAAATTTGGATTGGACATAAGGAAAAAATACTCAGAGTGAGCATGGTTAAACACTGGATTAGGTTAGCTAAAGGGGCTGTTGAAATGTCCATCTTTGCAATTCTCAAAGTTGCCTCTCTCCATTGACTCATGAGAAATTATGGATTTATCCTCTACCGTTCCCCTCCTAAGGTCAGAAGGTTGATTTTAGATTTTTTTGGCTAGATAAGCCATACCTCAAATGGGTGATTAAATTGAGCAAAGCATGTTTTGCCTTAAGGAAGTATAGCAATAATTTGATTTGAAGAAATTGTTTTTGCTGCATTTACACTTTATTTTCTGTACACTACATTTTCTGTAATTTTTTGATGGTAGTTCCTTACTCTTTGCTCGGAGTAATTCTATGAGAAGCAGCATGAGTAGACAAAATTAGCATTATTTTTTTCTATTTGCTTCTAACTGAGAGGGATTCATAAATAATCTTACACGGCTTTGTATTTTTAATGATTTTGCCCAGAATTTTTTAAGTATTTATGGATTTTTTTTCAAATACATAGTTCTATTGAAAAAGTCATTTATTGTTAAGCACAAAGAGCAAGGCATGTACATTCAATAAAAATTCTTATTTTAGATTAAAGAAAACAATAAAATATAAAAAACAGCTGCTGTCCCTGCAGATAGGCAGTCTTACTGGGATATTAAAGCTCAAGTACCAAGAAAGGAAACATAATTCATATGCAAGCTCTACTTGTCAGAGTGCTTTGAGTGTACATTATATTGTTTATTTGCCATGTGTTTTATTTTTTATTTTGCTGTCCATGGAATTTTTTCTAATTAGTGTGCTGTGTGCCATAAATGGCTTGAGCAAATTGTGTGAGGTTACTGTTTTGCCAGTCTCCAGAATCTGTCTCTTCAGGTTGTATTATTGTAAAATTCCATTTGTCAGTTCCTTCTTTTCAGTCTGTGGTTTGTAAGGAATGGTCACAGCCATTTTCATTGCTAGTTTTCTATGTCCGCCTGTCTGTCTCTTTGCAGAATTTAGCTGTTTGTATTAATATGTAGAAAGAAGCTCAAAATTTAAATAGGGATACCCCACAAGTAAAACATTTTTCCAGTTTTGAACTACTACAATAGAACAACATCAATTAAAAACATGAATTAGGCATTGTAACTATTTATTTCTTGTTAACAAACTATCACATTCAAAACTTGATTGAATCTAAGACAGAAAAGTTAGTTATTACTGAGGAGAAAGACAATTATCATCAGTATGAGCAAGTTGTTTTTTCTTGCAATTATGCCCATCACTTATAGTGCACAACGAAAGGGAAAAAAAAGAAAGAAAAAAACAAAACAAAACACAACAAAGAAAAGGATAGCTAAGTAAAGATTAATTCTTAGTAATTATGTCAGTATTAAACTGATCAACTAGAATGCTTTCAGTATGCCGATGGTCCTTACGAGATTTCTTCTAACTAAAAAGTATAATTCTGGTCAAAAGGTGAATCAGTCCCCTCATATAATCTTGAATAACAATGAAATTATTTTGGTTGAAAAGAATTAAGTGGAAATTGTATAGCCTTGGTAGGAGGGAACTACTTCCAAATTTCCTATTTGGGGTCCAGCTATTTTTTTCACTGGTTTCTGGAAGATCAGGTAGTTAATGATGGCAGAGACCTCTCCCTTCAGGCTCAATGAAAGGAAGAGGTTTGAGAATGTGCACTTATGGGAGGAAAAGATGCACCATACACCCTGTTGTTGTTGTTTCTTGATTTAAACTCTGCTAAGTACTGTTAGAAGAACCGTCACACTGGGTCAGATGAAAGGTCCATTTGGTTCACTATCTCTTCTCCAACCATGGCCAATAAATATGGCTTGGGAAAGAGAATAATCTCAAGCAAACATCTATTTCTCTTCTATAAAGTAGCACATTAATCATTCAAGCTAAGGCAAAATATAGCAACTTTCTTGTTAAAATAAAGAATACCCAACAGACAATGAAATACTGCTCACCTACAACATTTTTCTACAGAGTGATTATTCAGATGTGATGTAAGACAGCAGTATGATTCTAAATGATCATGTAACATGATTTTGAATAGCAATATGTTTTTTGGAAGTGAGCATTATTTTCTATTTCATAATGGATTTAATATATTTATTGGAAATAGTTCTTAAGGGAGAGCTTTCTTCTAGTATAGATACATCTCATCACATGATTTATTTATATAGATAAAAATATAAAAAGGCAAAAGATTTTTCAACTTTGATAGCACAGCTGTGAGGCCCAGAAGTTAGAGCAGAGACCTGAGATTGTTCTGGGGCAAGGATCACCAACACATTCAGACATACTTCAGAAAAGATCCTTGAGTAGCCATTCTACTGCAGTCAGGGTTGAATTTAAACATCACTCAGGAGGCACTGTGCTTGGCCATAGGGCTTACGCTGGTGGTCATCAGTAGAATGGCGTGGACGAGTACCTTAGGGCAAGTTCATAACTGTACAGAGTCAGAAGGAATCTCATCATCGCTATATAGTTCTGCCTCCTACATGTTACATACCTTATTGATTTCACATACATCTCCTCATCTGCTTCAACTTTTTTTTATTGATTTAGGGACCAAATGACTTGAGACAGAGTTCTAACACTTTTGGATTTGAAGAAGCTAAAAAGTAAGAACAGAAGGAGAGCAATAAATAAAATACATTTTTACAGCTAGATAAGATTCTGCTGGACATACTGTGTCAATCAGATGTAGAGTTTTGTGGAAATGCATTCTGGTTTAGAAATCTAAGCAGGCTTTTTATAACAGTAAAAATATCTAGTAAGAAATGACTAATTATATGATAATACAACTTTAATTGTAGATCAAAGAGATGAAAACAATTAAACTCTGAGAGGATTGCCTGGTCTGCCACTTACTACCAGTAGAGAGAGACCATGTTATTGGGTAAATGCTACGTTGTGTTCATGGCATCATTGTTTATCAGTTAGATCTTATGTTGTTAACCCAGTATTTGTATATGTGCATCTCACATCATCCAAGCTGTTGAGATACAGAAAGATTTTTGTTTATAATTTAAACAAAAAAAAAAAAAATCAGTCAGGATCAATTTCATCTTTATTTCATTAATGATCCCATGAGAGGAAAACATATCTGTAGACAATAGATATGTTTCCCTTTCTCTGCATGATTAAATTGGAGGGAAAGTTTTTTTTGAAAGAGAGAGGTTTTGACACAGAAATATGAGAAATAATGAACTGAAATACAGACAGAGGATGCGATCGCCACTTCTTCCAGAGTGTTCCAGTTCTGTTTTAATAATAACCATAATTAATCTACGTGCCGACTGCAAGAGAATGAGATACTCAGTGAAGGCATCCATGAAAACTATGGGTTTGTTGCAAGTCCACAATTAAAAGAGATAGGAAATTTCATTAATTTCTTTAGGATGTAGTCAAGTGATCAAGCATGGCATAATGAAGTAGGAAGCTGCCACATTGTACAATGATCCCATATAAGAAAAAAGAGTTATTTTATCTTTATCAACAGATAAACTCAGCTGACCGTGACAGCCTTGTACAACTGAATATGAATTTACAGGGGTTTATAGGGCAAATGATAAAAGGCTGAATTAGATAATGATACACTTAGTGTTCAGTCTGTATTAAAAAATATATAAAAGTATTTTGTATTTATATTGGAAATCATGAGACATGGATGATTCCTGAAGAATGGCTCTCAGTGATGTCAGACATATTCCTTACATTTATGTAAATACCAAAGATGTGCTTATCATTTCAGAACAAAAATAAACATGTGGTAACAGCTTTTGTAAAACTTGGTTGACTCATTTGTTTATTAATACATTCAGGCCTTACAAGATTTTCGGTATTATTCAGCATGGTTAGAGCCAGTTAAATCTTCGCATTGTACCTCGTTTAGCAAGAGCTCAGTTTTCTCTACTATACCAACAACACAGATGAGGAGTCGCACTGGCTGCGGGCATGAACAAGTGTGGTAGATGGAGAACTTCGTCATTGGTTAAAGGACAACTTTCACACAAGATAAGAAGTGACCTCACTTCTGGCAGAAGACCTGCCCACCACAGCCACAGGGCAAACTCACCCCAGAAAAGTGCCAGGCCCCTCAAGACCTCCATTCCTTTGCCGATGCCAGCTCCCACTGTGCCACCACCAGTCACACCGACCCCATCTCCAGACTCCCCGTGTCTGCCTGGCTCCTGAGGCTGTGCCTGCTTGCCAGCACGGTCCATCCGCACAGAGGCCACGCGGAGTGAGATCCCACTGTCCGGCCATCCCCTACGTCTTAATGCAGAGATCATCAGCACCTCTGAGGGTGAACAAGACAGGGTATTTCCGTGGTAAATGGCAACCTCACATGTCCCAGGACAGGAGTGCAAGAACAAGGTGCCCTAAGTGGGGACCGCCAACAAGATCTGGGGAACGGTTACAACGGCGCAAAGCCCTGGCTGTTAAAGTGATCATGGTTTTGTCTGAGAGGGGCAAGGAATATGTGGAAAAGACTCACAAGTGTAAAGGCTAGAAATGTGGTATGTGCTATGAACAGATCTTGAAAATGAACCAGCTTTGGTGCTTTTTGTCCATGACCAAAAATGCAGAAGCAAGGAAGGGCTGTATTTTTGATGATGTGCAGTGTATGCAGAATGTCCCAGGCTTGCTGGCCTTGGGGTACTCCTGGGTAAGCAAGAAGTCTGTCATAGGCTGTTGTCAGATAGTGTGGGTTACAGCTCTGTCAAAGTGGTAGCCACCATCGGCTTAAGAACATCCCGGTTCTAGCGGTCCTTGCTGTACTTCTGGGGCGAACCTGCTGTGTGACAAGGAAAGGGGCAGGACTTTTGTGGCACTTTTGTGGGTGATGTAAGGGTGTGAGCTGCCGTAGAACCAGCTGCTGTCCTGTAAGTACATTTTTCTCTGTCTCTAAAGAGGCTCATGTTAGAGAGTTTGGGCTGCTGCTTCTTTAGAGGAGGTCATGGTAAAGAAAGAAGGCAGCAGCAGAAGAAATTATCATTCCCTCTGTAGTTCTCTGAATTCTTATTCCTATTTTATTTCTTATAGTCTTTCCTCTACATTTAAAAACAGAGGCTTGCCCTGTTTGTTTTCCTCTGCTTTTTTGCTGTTGTTTTTTTGGGGACGTGATGGTAGTGGAGGAGGAAAGGCAGGGACAAACAGCCACAGCCCCTATACAAACTGTTACTCTCTGAGGAAGGTTGGAGGTTTTTTGTAGATAAGGTCTGTGGGAAAGGGAAAGACAGACTGCAGTCTTGTCTCATATGCCCTTTCAATTTTACTGCCTGACATGCTCCTTTTAGCCTTTTTCTCACCCATAAAGCCCTTTCCTGAAACTTTATTGCTTTCTTTGACTGGCTCCTCTAACTTGTGTCTTCCTTCCTGCCTTCCTCCCAGTCCTACGTCCTTGCTGTAGTGACACTATTTTGCTCTTTTTGAGGGCAGTGAAATTCTGTTCTGCCTAAGTGTCAGAAGTCTGATGGAGATCCAGAGCAGAATAACTTCACTGAGGTTGGTGAGTTTATACTGATACAAATGTCATTATATTGAAAATAAAGCTAGGCCCTTGCTCTCTTAATTTACTAAACCTTCCCTTCCATAAGTGTTCTGTTGATGCCTGTATGGACTGCTGTTCGGAATTTAATAGCTTATTTTAACAGTTTCCAAGCCTACAAACTTTTCTAAATAAATCAATCTTTGGAAATTAAATAATTATGCTTCTAGACCAGCCACAGAAGATTCTTTCTCTGCTGATCATAGGAGGAGCTTACGATCCTGACCTAAACCAGATTTCTGAAGTGGATACACCAATTAATGACATGGGATAAGTTAAGTTGATGATTGCTTTCAGAGACTGGCCAAGCTCTATTCTAGAAGTAGCTATGTTGGGTTTTTTACCCTATTGAAAGTCTGCTCCAATTTTTCATAGTCCCATGATTAGTATCCTTCTAGTTTACTGCCTGGGTTCATTTGTGTTCTGTTTCTACCTGTTCATTTTGCGACAGCACTGTTCCTTAGCCTAAACATCTACTGGACTTTTCCAGTGCTTACTCTCTTTTTTATTTATAGACATACATTATCTTTATAGGGACATAGAAGTGCCTGTTCCATTTTCTGCCTCAACCTTTACTTTGCCACATTAAACTAGCCAAGTTCTGTCAGTCACATTTTAATAGATAGGCTTTAGAGCCTTTACCTCATCTTGGTGACCTTTCTTTTCACCTGTCCTAATTAGAAAGAATCTTTCTTGAGTGTGAGTGACCTGTGGTCTGTGCTTACGAGATCTTACTACTACCTTAAAATATTCTCCTTAATCCAGTGCTCCTAGGATCGCAGTTGTGTTTTCCTGGCAGTATTCCACCAGAGGCTGACTGTGCTTGTACAGACTTGCCTGACTAGATTGAATATTGCTAGTAGTGTAGTCACAGGCACACAGTGCTCATTAAAGGCTGATAAAACTAACTCAAAATCCCAGGGAAATATTTAAGAACTATCTCACACTGCACTGCCTGCTGCCACAGTTACCGAGGTTGCGTTAGGTCAGCTGGCCATAAACTGAATAGCACAGGTATAAATGTCTGAAGTTATCCTTGTTATGGACCTCAGTGATAGTTCTTAACTCTCATCCCTCATCTTGTCTTCCACTAAATCATTAGTGATTTAGTTTTTGTTATCTTTTTCCTGTCAACCAGATTCCAGGGTTATAAAGCCTGTTTTGGTTCAGGGGAAAATGTACATGCAGACCTTAAGGTTATACTCTCCTCTTACAGACATTAAGATAGCGATGGTGTGGACAGTACTTCTTCATTTACCTTCATTTTGAAAATCTCTTCCCTAGGCAGGTTCTTATCTTTCTTTCCCTCCCCTCCCTGTTTTGACCTCCCTGTGTTTAGCAGAGGCAAGCAGATGCAGAAATTAAACAACCAGCCACAGCCTGCTACATCTTTTCCGGCTGGTGAAATACCTGTTAGGCTCTACCTTCTGCTCCTTTTCTCATTTCTGAGGTGATAGCATCTTTTCACGCACACGTTCCCTATTTACCAGGCGCAGTTTCATCACTTTCAACGCAGAGAGTCACTGGCGGAATCTGCTCAGAGCTGGCTGAACAGTGTGAGCATGTGGTCAATTTTGGGGCATAGTTTTATGATAAAATTGGCTGAGTCTGTACTGCCAGCTGTGTGTGCCGTTCCCCTATCGCCAGCATTTGTTTGACCTCAGAGTCAGCCCGTTCAGAAATTTACAATAGGAAGGAAAACAAAAGGAATTGTCTTCCACCAGCTTAGCTCCCTAAACTGTCCTAACATGGAGTCAGATGGGTAACAGCGCACATGATGGATGGAAGGGAGCAACGCAGGTGAGGTGCAGAGCGAAACCGTTCCTCTCAGCAGCAGCTGGCAAGTTAGCATAGCCCAAACCGCGCTGGAGAAACACACCTGCAGTTTTACAATCTCGGTGTGGAGAGATCACAAGGTTTGTGTTTCTTACTTGAAAATGTTCGCCGGTCTTGCCAAGAAGCTGTCCATATGATTACTGATTGTTTGACACAGTCTGCAGAATGTCCATTTGGTCACAAGATGTGAACAATTCTGACCTTGATTGGAGACACTTGACTCTAATAACAGCTTAACATGCACACCACAGAAATCTCACTTTGTTATGAAAAAAGAATGTTCTTGCTCAATCTTCTTGCTTAAAAGAATTTTCACTACACATGCATGCATTTTATTTTCTATTCAGTTCACTGTTACGAATACAGAGAAGATAAAAATGTGATTCAATGAAAGCATTAGTAAGAGTATGTAAAAATGTTTTCAGTTAAGCAGAGGTGAATGACTAGAGAATAATTATGTCAGTAAAATTCAAAGCCCTATTGCATAATCTGAAACTCTTCAAATCACAGGAGAAAGCTAACAAAATTACAAAAAAAAAAGACTTTATTAAGAAAAAATATTTTCTTTTGATAAGTCAGCTTTCTGCTGTAAAACCAACACCTTTCATTCTGTTATAAAAATAATTTATTTTTTCTGCTATTCTAGAATATAAAACACAGACTACTGGTGCACAAAGAGTATTATGGATGCAGTTTATGTTAAAGGGATATTAGTTCTCCCTTAAAAAAAAAATAAATCCCAGGCAATAAGCATTTAAAAGGAGCCACAACAACCTGTAGAGTACACAGCTGATGCTTAAAAATACTCTTTTTCTGCTGATGCATTCCTACACTCCAGAGTACACCTCTCACCTTTAACGCTCTCACGCTCCAAACATTGCTTGCACTGAAGAGAATCGCTGTTTTGCCTCGAGCAAGGAACAGAAGTGTTGCAAAACTGACTCCTCCTCTAATGGGGAGAGCATGTACAAGTACACAGAGTAGTATTTCTCCTACAGCTGCCAGGCTGAATATTTTGCAGTCAGAGCTGTGAACCTCGCAGGCTTTTTGTTTACCTTTCTACTTTTGGGTCTTTTTCCCCCCTTTCTTTCTGATTTTTTTTTGCTTTTAATATATGTGAAACTCTTTCAAATGCTGGATTTTCACGTCCTTGTTCAGGAAGCATTCATGAATTGACATGGGTCAGCACACTTTTCGTTACCAGGCAAAAGTAAGTATTGCAGTGAAACCGGTTCCTGCTGTATGTTTACCTGACTATAAAGGGTTCTGTGTTGTTGTATAATGGACAGAGTAGACTGTAGTTCTATTAGCAGGCATTAAAAACTTACCAAAAAAGTAAAATCAGTTCAACTTAATATGGTATGCTAAATATTGTGTGGCTCACATTCTGGAAAAAAAAAAAATTGTCAGTCTGTGGTATTTATTTTAAAATACTGAAATGAGCCACACACAGAGATGCCACTCCTTCTATGGGTTTTTTTAAAATGACATTCAAGATTGCATTTTTTTTAAAGCATTTTTAATGCACTTGGTAGTAGTAATCTCATTATTACTGCTTTATATCATTTATGTTCACTAAATATACCTTATTTATGTCATTCATTAATGAAAATATGCTGGTTGAGGAAACAAACCTCCTGTAGCTCCCGTAACTGCCATCATATCTTCCACTATGTAATCCTCCCTAGCTATTATTTTATTCTTCCCGTGTTACCCTCTCCTGCGTTTACATATACATTCACTAGTCGCCGGGTCATGTTGTGTGTTACTATCTTCAGAATTCTTTGGTACTGGCATAGACTGGCCATCAAAAGCTGAAGGGAAACAGACATCTCA